GTGCATCAAGTTTCCATTCATGAGTTCACAACCGAAGCCTAATGACCGAATCGTGCCCTATTGACTAATATGTGTATCGCAATCATAGTGTATAAAATGGTAAAATGCACTTAAGGGTATCGTGCGAGTGAGGCGTTGTCTACCTCCAGATAGTGATATCCATAATAACCATAGGCTCAAAAGAGTTAATGAGTTGTGTTGAGAGATTCCAGGGACTTAACCGCGATACAGTCCTCATGAATTAAAGTAACATACACATACATACGAAATATAGCAACCAAGTTTCATACGAGTCAAAATAAATACAACGAACATAAATAGTTTAGGACATGCTTTTCCACCTCAAAACATTTAAAAAAACGAAAATAGGGGGAGTCATGAATACTCACAATATGCAAAATATATCAACCAAGTTTATACGAGTCAAATAAATACAACGAATATAAATAGTTTAGAAAATACTTTTCCACCCCAAAACATTTAAAACCGAAAATAGGGAGTGATGAATACTCACAATATGAAAATATAGCAATCATGTTTATACTATTCAAATAAATACAACAAACATAAATACTTTAAGACATGCTTTTCCACCCCAAAACATTTAAAAACCGAAAACAGGGGAGTGGTGAATACTCACAATATGTATTGAGATTATGCAAATGGTGCCTTGAACTACGCTCCACTCGTACCACTATCATTTTCCTACAATAATGGTATACGCTAGTGAGTCTCTAGTCGAAATCTAATGCTAATATACTTACTAGTACAATAGTATTATGCCAATATTGTGTCAAAATTTAATATTGATAAGTTACAAACATTTTTCTGAAATGGTGAAAATTTATAACTCATGTGATTAAGACAATTTTGGATATTAATTTCCATATTTTTATAATATTAATTGAGGGTATTTCAACACATTTAAAGGTGTTTTAAGCTCCTAAAAATCTAAAATATTATCAAACAGTTTCCAAAAATTGTCAAACTTTGCATTTTCATTCTAAATACAGTAGAGGTCTTTCATAAATTTTTCCTTCAATTTTTGATGTGATTAACTATTTTTCCCAATTTTTAAGCCTTCATAACAATATGAATTCGTGAAAAATAGTATCCAGATGATAAAAATTCTCAAACTTTTTATAATACTTCCACTGAGCATACTTAAGTTGGGAAAAATGTAAAAATGAGTTTCTAAATAGTTTAACCCGATTTTATAATTTTTGTGCATATATTCTAACCAAAATGGATATAAATAGAAGACAGTTTCCAAAATTGCTCAAAATTTTTGTAACACTGTTATTATACATATAGAAGCTGTGAAATATATAAAAGATATTTGTCAGTTAGTTTTGCTATTTTTCTTTGTTTTATTCTCTTGAATAATCATTAATTGGTGAATAATTATCAAACAGTTAAATTAAATTACAAAATTTTTTATAAACTTCATTTACTATGTAAATAATCTGGGAAAAATACCAAAGGTGGTTTTTATCTACTGGAATCTGATTTTGTGGATTTATGTGTATTTAATCTTAGAAAATAGAAGAAAAATAGCATATTGAACACAAAAATCATCCAAATTTTTATTTGGAGTTTCAGTATATTATAAGATCTTCTGGTAAATTTTCATGAATTTTAGATGAGTACAAATAGTTTTCCCATTATTAGTCCATTATAAATACAAAAATCGGTGAAAAATAGGAATGCATTATGAAAAATTCTGAATATATTTTTATGAGTCTTACAGATAGTGTAGGAGCTGCGAAAATTATTAGATACCCTTTTCACATTCTCGAAAGTGGTTTTATGATTTATTTGAAGTAAACAAAAAGAAAATTTAAAACCATACCAAAAACTAACAAAAATCGATAAAACTAATGAAATGTCATCATTTACTTTAGGGATCGTCCACAGATTTACCTAGTATTTATATACTTCAGAAAATATTTTATATGAATTATTGCCCCATTTTCTTGCAATAATTATAATAATTCGAGAAAAATCAATTATTTTTTGAAATTTTTTAGAACATCTCATTTTGTTGGTGGAGTTCTGGGAAAAATCGGATTTGATCAGAAAAGAAGTTTTAGATATTTATTTGGGAATAAATCCTTTATGAACCTATTTGAAAGCATTTAACAACAAACTTTGATGATCAAGCCTCTAAGTTTGAAGATCATCACATTCATGTTAGTTTTTGGGTGAAATACTACCTACAACATTATAAAAATCATGGTTATGAACATATGATTCATAATCCATCCATAGAATGTTGTAGAAGAAGAAGATATGTAAGAAAACTTGAGATTTTTAAGGAAGATTGAAGGATTTTTGTGATTACCTTGAAGAACAAACGTAGATGATGAAGATTTAGAGTTTAAGGTGTGTTCTTGGACACATTTTCTGGAATAAAATTCGTGGTTGAAGGAGAGAGGAAGAGAGAATAGAGAGAAAATGAAGTGGGGGTGTTGGAAAAATGAGAGAGAATGAGGGATATGGAGTGTAAGGTTTGTGTAAATGTTTTAGGAAGGCAAATAATGAAGGATGAGAGAGGGTGGCCGACTTTTGAGGGTATAATGCCCTCCCTCACTTTTAAGTTTGTAAAAATTTCAATTATTTTATAAAAGTTTCAAACTTTTTATAAAATATACACCCTAACCAAGATTTTGTTCATGAAACTTTGATTTTTTGACTTATAAATTATGGGAAATTGTTAATGATTTAAATTTTTTTTCCTTGATTATATTTTCCCGAATTTAGTCATTTTCAATTAATATTATGAGGTTCATAACAAATTTTATGGAGTCTTAGGTGTTAAAGTTTATAAATTTGAGATTTTAGGGCTTTTAGGGTTTTTGAGAGTTTGTAAATCTTTGGATATCAAAATAAATAGAATCTTTGAGACTTCAAATTATCTTTGTGTTTCATAACTCTTATTCAAGTTATAAATAATGTTTGTAATTTATTTTTATCGGTTTATTGGCATTCTCTGTAGTGATTCCGAGATTCAAACGGAATTGAGGAATCAAGTATACTAGTCCTAGTCTTCAACTTCGACTTAAGTTTCTATGAGACTTTGACCTAATTTCTACTTTTAAGTCAAGTGCATGATGTGTGTATATGATTCATGAAAAGGTGTTCGAGTCAAAGAGTGACCCAAATATGGATAGTCTCTACAGTTAAGTAGTTGTAGAATTCACATAACAATGTGAAATCTAAGTACACTATCCATTGTTTCTAATTGTTTCCAAGTTTCTATTAGGTTATAACTTAGCTTCTAGTTACTAAGTCTAGTATGTGTCGTGCCTACATGTGCAACTAAGTTTATCAAATCTATAACTGACTCGAATTTTGACGGTTGTCACATCTAAGGCGACTTCCAAAGTTGAACACCATATAAGATTGATCGTGATCCGTATATCATGTTTAACATGATGTTTGTGACAAAGGGATACTTGATGAACTTACCTTATACACCAATTGTAGCTTTGAGCTTTTTGGGAATTGGGTGTTGATAGAATGGCACAAAGTCGTATGTTGTTGGGGGCAGTGAAATATTGCTAGACATTCACAATGTACATGTATTTAATCATCATACACATATTTTTTTGAGCAACTCATTAAGTATTATTGTGGTGGTGAAATCTCATAATTTTACATTTTCACCACTACAAAGGAATACAAATGTAATCAATATAAGAGGAACTCTTCTAGATCAGTGAGTATTTTATGCATGAGGATAAAGGTAATGCCTAACATAAAGAACTTCCATTATTTTGAATTGTTTTTTTTCTTGCATCTAGCTAGTTATTTTTTATAAACTTTTGTTGTTAAAAAAATACTAGTATCATCCACTCAGTTAAAACTCTTAAGACATTTTACAAATTAATTTCAATAATTCATGAACCATAACCTCCTAACTAAGACCTAAATGTTTTATTGAGCGTCATGATGAAGTTGAACCCATGAACATCCCAATTTTTTGATCGAATTTCTTGATCAGTTAACTACAATCACAACTATCTTTAACCCTATGCTATCAATTGCACGCTATAGTGGTGCTATAGCGGTTCGCGGTAATCTACAACCGCTATTTTCAAGTTAGCGTTTTCAGATAGCGATACCGCAATTTGCGCCGCAATTAACCGCTAATTACCGCTATTTTCCGGACCTAGATAGCATCGCTATTGCCGCTTTTTCATTTTATTTTATGTTTTGATGATTTGAATCAAATTTGGGCCATTTGATTAATTTGTAAATGAAAAACCAAGTTTTAGTGAGTCCGGTAAAAAGCTCAATGCCCAATAAATAATAACCTAATTAAAATCATTCAAGAAAAAGTACCTGATCACAATTCACAAAAGAAATACGAACGTGAGTTGATGAGCGGCGACCCGGCGAGAGTTGAGTCTTGAGCTGCTATGCCAAAGACGAAGTAACAAACACACCTGGGAGTCTGCGACTGTGAGGCTGCTTCTTCAGAACTAATTTCTTAGTTAATTGACTGTGAGGCTACTTCATTGCCCGTCAATCGACCTCCACAGCTGCACAACATCGACTCCATTCTGCCCTTCAATCGACTTCCAACTGCCTAACAGCCTAGCAGAGTAACAGGTAACAACCTAATGCTTTGTTTTCTAGACAGTAGATACATACACATTGCGGTTTCAAGGTTTCAACATGCACATTGCGGTTTCAATTTAGACATACACATTGTTAATCTGTTACTTATACTGTTATACATACAATTTTACATATATGATATATTCAATGATCAGTTTCTTACATCTATGATCTATGTTACATGAATATCAAGCTGTTATTCCACTGATCAATTTCATATAATTTCACATATTCCACTGTCCATTTATGTTTGTTAGTTTGTGTACTCATGTGATGTAATCTGTTAAGATTTAGGAAATAGGAACATAAAAAATTAAGTTGTTATTTTGTTAATGAATAATGAGTAAGTAATGAGTGTAATGACATGTGATTTTGAAACAGGTTTAATCAATTGTGAATTCGAAACTATGGCAGGGAATTCTTCACATGCTTCTATGAATCCGCCCACCACCACTCATACTAATACGAGATCGGATGCCAATACAACTACTGTAAATGGAAATAAAGATATGGTTTGGGAATGGGGAGTTCAAAAGGATCCATTAAAAAAACAAAATATTTGGTGCACCTTGTGTGACAAGAGAGTATGTGGAGGGATCACAAGGTTAAAAGAACACCACAGTCATACGGGAGGAAATGTAGCTGCTTGCAGTAAGGTGACTATGGAGATCACCAAGAAAGTGCTTGAATCAATGAAAGAAATAAATAAGAAAAAAAGGAAAGAAAAAGAACAACAAAAATACTTAGATCAAAAAGTTTTATAGACCTTTCTGAAAATGAGGACGAGCAAGATGATACCCCACAAGTTAAAAAAAAGAAAGTTTGTAAGTTCTAGTAATGTACGGGTTCCTATTGATGATGTTTATAAGTCAGACCATGGAAAAGGAAAGCAAACTACATTGGATAAGAATAATCCGATTAAAGAGAAGTTGAAGAAGGTAGCTTGGAAAAAGATTGCGGTTTGGGCTTATTCGATAGGGTTACCTTTCAATGCCGTACGTGATGAGGGTTTCCAAGATGCGATCATTGCCATTGGAGAATATGGAAGAGGTAATCAATTTTGTTACATTTCTTATTTGATTAATGTTAAGTTTTTAATTATATAAATGTTTATATTTACTAGCTTTGTTAATTATATAAATGTTAGGTATGCCGGCTCCAAGTTATCATAATATGCGGGTGACATTGTTAAAGGAGATATTAGAAGATACCCACAAGTTTGTGGATTCGTTTCGACCACAATGGAAGAAATTTAGATGTAGCATTATGTCTGATTTTTGGACAGACGACAAGCAGAGATCTTTGATTAATTTTTTAGTCAATTGTCCTACTGGTACAGTTTTTCTAAAGTCGATTGATGCATCGGAGCATATAGATAATGCTGAGTATATTGTGAAGAAGGTAAATGAGGTGATAGCAGAAGTTGGAGAGGAAAATGTTGTGCATGTAATATTTGTTTTTAGTTAGTTATTAGTTATTACTTTTATTTTAAAATTTTATATCCATTTTATTAATTAAGTTCTTTTTATTTTTTATAGTTTATTACAGACAATGGTTCAAACAATAAAGCTGCAGGAAAGATTTTGGAAGAACAACATCTAAAATTATTTTGGACTCCATCTGCAGCACACTGTGTGAACCTCATTGTACAAGATATTGGGAAGAAAGAAGCAACAATCGCGACCGCTTTGACTGAAGCAAGAGCTATTGTGGTTTGTATTTATAACCATGGAAGGATTCTCAATATGATGAGAAAGTTTTCAAAGAATAGAGAGTTGCATAGGTCTTGTGTAACTAGATTTGCTACCCAGTTTTACACATTATAGAGTGTCCATTAAGATACACACCATCTCCAAGTGTTGTTTGTATATGAGCAATGGTGAAAAAGTGACTTTGCAAAGAAAGCTCATGGAAAGAGAGTTGAGAAGATAGTAGCAAAACAATCTTTTTGGGATGGTGTATATTTAGCTTGCCAAATATATGCTCCATTGGTGGATATTGTTCGTTTGGTTGACATAGAAGAAAGACCGTGCATGGGATACATCTATGATGCGATGAGTCGAGCGCAAGATCAAATAAGAAAAAATCTAAATGATGGGAGTAATGACAAAAAAAGACTGGCAGGTAGAATTTTGTCTATCATTCAATCAAAATGTAACGACCAACTTCTTCATCCCTTACATTCAGGTACAAATCTTTTACTTATTAGTTATTAGATTAATTTAAAATAGTATGCAATTAATCAGTTTTAATGTTTTAGTGAATGACTTAATGTACAATTGGGTGATTCCTTAACCCCACAATTTTTCATGGAGATAAGTCAAAGGAATATGAGGACATTACACAGATTATGACGAGACTTTATGTTGCTATTGACCGTCTTGTTCCTGATGAAGATGAAAATGATACATTGAGACAAGAATTGAATCTCTACATTGATTTAAATGGACAATTTGGATCTCCAGCTGCTAAAAGGAGTATGACAAAACTTGCACCGTGTAAGTATAAAAACTATAATGTAATCAAGTGTTTTTATTTCTTAATTTTTATTAACTTAGCAACTTTTTTTTTTTGTAAAATGTAGATATATGGTCGCGTTCTTGTGGGATAGATACACCTATCCTACGAAATTTTGCTATCACGGTTCTTAGTCAAACTTGTACTGCTTCACCTTGTGAACGAAATTGGAGTACATTTGACAATGTAAGTTTTTTTTTATCTATTTTTAACAAGTATTTTTATAATTATAATTTATAAATGATATTAGTTTGATTGGGACATCTAACATATTAACTAAAATATAAAAGAAATTGTCTTTTGCAACAAAAACTAAATGAACTTGTTTTCATCCGATACAACAGAAGGTTGCAAAAGCGCTTCATGTCTTTACAAAACAAATCTTTGGATCCTATTTTGCGATGAGATGTTGAGGAGAATAATGATTGGACAATACCAACGGAAGATGAGCTTCAAGACTTTGTGGATGGTGGTGATGACCTTCTTTGGTCAGATGTGCAAGAAGCAATGGGAGCAAATGTAAACGCTCAGCCAGATATTAGGAGAAAGCAAGAACATTATAGAGATGATGATGATGATGATGTTATAGATGTGGGGAATGATTTTGATGAAGAAGTGAATGCCTTGGATGATGTTGACTCTGATGCCGAATCAATGCCGTGCGATTAAACTCTATTTGACACTTTGACACTATGTAGTTTCTATATTACTATATTAGAATTTTGAATATTATGTTATGTTTTTATGACTTTTTAGGTTTTATGATATTAATTCTATATAGACTTTTTAGGTTTTATGATATTAATTCCAAATATAATAAAAAATTATAAATTATATGTAATATTAAAAAAACCGCTATAGCACCGCTATATCACCGCGAAAACCGCGATTGCAAATAGCGGCCTGTGACCGCTATTGAAATTTTGACCGCGATAACTGCATAGCTTTAACCATTATGAAAACCTATTTTGTGACAACCCGAAATTTTCATTTGTATAAACTCCGCAGTCAAGCACATCAAATTAAATCCAAATTCATTTTAGTACGTTTTTGGCCGGTTTTCAGTCTGTTGGGTGTTTTTATTTTATACTCGTCAAGCGAACAAATAAAAGGAAGTATTCTTTAGAGGTTGTCGTGCATCACGTAAGTCTCAAAACTCCAAGAGTTTGGAGTTTACGGCCCTAAACATGGAGTTTACGGCCGTAAACTCTAAAGGGCATAAATATGACAGTTAGTCATTTTTGGCTCACTTTTCACTTCCTAACTCAAGAACAACCAAGATTCTCTCTCAAGTATCATATCACATTTCTTCCAATCCTCCAAAAATGTAAGTATTTCTTTCCTTGATTCGTTCATATAACACTTTATCTAGTGTTTATACTCGATTTCATCCATGGAAATCTCCTCTTTTCTTAGATCTTCAAGTGTTCTTCAAAAACACCAAGAACACACACTAGTGTTCTTGGCCCTTAAACACTCCTACAAGCCTCCTATAAGTAAGTACACTCCTCCTAACTAGTTGTTTGCTTAGAATACATGTTAAACCCTTGAAGAACATCAAAATCCCCAAGAACATATGTGTTTACGGTTCAAGAAGATCTCCTTGGACCGTAAACACCTTCAAGTGGGGTTTAGGTTCCCCTAACACCTTCTATGGCTTGTCTAAAGGACTAGAACCTTGCATGCATGAGCAAGAGACACCAAAACACGAAATGGTTGGGTAACCATGAGTTTACGGCCGTAAACTCATGGGTTTACGACCATAAACTCATGTGTTTACTACCGTAAACTCTCAAGGAGTGGTCCAAGGACCGTAAACTCCAACAAAGGGCCATTTCGAGCCCTAGTCACTTCCTAAGCCTTGGATTCGAGTCTAGCTTACTTCCTAGTGTGGTTTAGGACCTTAAAACACCCAATGACACCATTGCCATGAGTTTACGGCCGTAAACTCATAGGGGAAATGGTCCCAGAACCGTAAACCCATATGGTGCTACCATATGGGGAGTAAACTCCAATGTGAGGCCATACTCTCTTTAGATGCAACCTTTAGTACTCCTAGCACTTGTAGCAAAGTATTTTCATGTATTAGGATGTCTTCACTTGCTTAATTAGTTATTAAATGACTAATTAGATACATAAATGTATCATTACATGTTCAATAGGATCCACGTGTGTGTTCAAGTCCTCAATTGACACTTAGCATCCTATACCATCCGTTCATCCGAATCACCCACCAAAAGGTGAGTTCATACCCCTTAATCAACCTTTTAAATGATTTTAAATGCTTTTATGGGGGGGAATACAAGTTGAACCGATAAGTTATTATATCAATCACATGTGATTAATAACTGTCAGGCAAATAGATTTTTGCATGATAAACTGTTTTATTCAGCTAAAGGTTTTCGAATCTTGTTTTCAAATCTCTTTTAAAGTACAAAAATCCCTTTTTAAATTATTAAGCTTTTATCAAAGTCTTTTAAACTTATACTCTTGTTAGATTCATGTCTATATAGATATAGTTATATAAGTAGGGTTTGAAGGACTTAGGACTGATAGCCCGCTTTATTTCCTGTTCCTTGTTTGGTTGTGGACTTAGAGCATCCAGTTATCTGTCCGAGTGTCGTTGAAGTCCTAGTTATATATTATGTATATCTGGTTAGATATTAAAACTCTTACTCCAGTTTAACACCTTTGGGTAGCAAATGTACCTAGGTAACCTCTCAAGTAAACTATAATAGGTATAGTTTAGAAACCAACCATAACTTTCATGAAGGAGAACTTAGTTATATCTATATTCTAAAAACTCGTACTTTTAGTGAAAAGAAAGTTATATAGAAATCAAAACACGAGATACATCCTCATGACGCGGATTTCACCATTGTCGAGTGGTAACCAGAGTCTCCTGGAGGGAGAGCGGGCATTGTGTGTATAGATCTATACGGGACAGACCATCTCACATCCTGACTGCTAGCTACAATCCCGGCCGACCAAGCCAAGGGGTGACAAATGTCACATTCATTTCGACGCCAGCAGGTCGTCTTTGTTTACATCCGTCAATCAGTATGGTTACAAGTACCTTTACAATTACCTTATAATTCATGGCTTTAAGGTAATAAGTGTCGTCACGATACTTTCTAGATATAAAACCATCATAACGTATTTTCCTAGTTATACACTAGGCCACATTTTAAACCTTTAAACTAACCTACCTAGGATTAAAGGCTACTTTAGACTCTCCGAGGCGTATTGTTCAGTTAATACCGCCTAGAGTCTGTATTTTAGACTCTCCAAGGCGTATTGTTCACTTAATATCGCCTGGAGTCTGTATTTCATTCATTTAGACTCTCCGCGGCGTATTGTTCACTTAATACTGCTTGGAGTCTGTATTTGATTCATTTAGACTCTCTGAGGCTTATTGTTCACTTAATACCGCCTGGGTTCTGTATGTCATTCATTTAGACTCTCCGAGGCGTAGTGTTCATTCAATACTACCTGGAGTTTGTATTTTTATTTATTTATAAACAGCAACGTCATGCTGAAGAATAGTATTATTTTTCCCTATTACTTTTACTTCTGACCTTATCACATATTATTAAAGTATAAACTATATTTTGATAATGATAGTTAATTTTCGGAAAATACTCCTTAAACATAAAACAATCGGGTCTTGGTAGAAGACTACTTTTATTAGGAAATATAGGATTTCTGGAAGGGATTCTAATTCTCTGTAAACTCAATCACCATCATCTAATGTGATTAATTTGAAGAAAACATGTATTTACACCAATGTCATTAAAATACTTATGAACTCACCAGCATTATAATGCTGATACTCTCTTTCAAAATAACTTGTATTCTTAGGTTGTCAGTAGACAGGTACACTCCGGGAGCTTTTGCAAAGTCAGCCTAGTACCAAGCTGCAGCTTATGTTATTTCCTATATCTACTTTTGATATTGTTGTTAAATGTAACCTATGTAAAATTATTACTATTAATGCAATGGTTGTTGTACTTTGATTTACTATACTGCATATGTTGTGATACTTGACATGACGTCCTCCACCCCAGAACGTTTCCGCCGTTCCGGTTTTGGGGTGTGACAGATTGGTATCAGAGCATTGTTTATAGTGTGCTCAGTATATCAAATCATAAAAGATATACAACCTATAAATACAATGGGATAAAATACTCTGACCAAGAATTATACTTTAAAATATAACCATATTTTACAAAAGTATAAGAACATCCAGAATATAAGAACCCGAACAAATATCACGAGAATAGTAAGAATAAAAGTCTTTGGATGTTGAGCATTACCGTCAAACCTGGGCAGTTATGTAATCGTAAGCTGGAATAAATATAACCTGATCAACTATATTTATTCGAGATGCGACTAACGTGTGCTTGGGAGTGTTGGTGGTGTTGCAATGAGTCTGAAACTTACCAAATAGGAATGCTAGAGCCAAACATAAAGTTTAAAATACTATAGGAGTATTTTAGGATACTAAAAGACTCACAATAAACCCAAAAGCATGTTCAGAAGTTAAGAATCAAACATGTAATTAAAATACTATAGAGGTATTTTAGGAACCATAAATAACCTTGTGTGAAAACTAAAAGAGATCCTTATTGATGGACCTATGATTACAGAGTGTATACTACCAACGTTATATATAGTGAGGACCTCATAGGCTAAGAATGTGTGGTTTCGCTCTACTTCCTTTTCCTTGTTTGGATGTGGATATAAAGTAGTATCACATATTCGAAGGTCTATCAGATCTAAGTTATATATGATTTGTGTACACTTTGTAATTATAGCAGGACTCGATATGGGTCACCCAGTAAAATGTTTTAATAATCTCTTAAGATTCTTTAGACATTCCCATTCTCGCACGAACCCCTTTAGAAAACCTTATCCACTTCAATAATCGGCAGAAGAGTCGATACAGACCCAGAAGAGGTTCATCGAGAAGATTTCCAAGTAGGGAATAAACGATCAGTGATGAGACTATTGAAATCACCATGCGCCTATACCTTTTAGGGACATCGGTGGGAAATTTGCCTGAACTTCTGAGATTCCAGTCATCCATTATGAAGTGATGACACTCAGAGTCAGAATCGGAAGTAAGGCGGAGCAGAAATTCAATATGTCTGCGAGAGCAGAGAACCCTATATAGATACCCGGAGGAAACCAACGCTTGTTCCAGTCAGGGATAAGAGGTGGACAGAGGGAGCCAATGCATGGAACCCGAGAAGTGTTTCTACCTCTTTAACGTCACGCTAATAATCCATAAAATAATACAATTTAGTGAGCTAGTGATTACACTACTCACACTATGTGTTAGGCAAATTGTCTTTCCCGTCGCGATTAATATAAATAGATCGGATCACAAAACCTCGATTGAGAGTGTTTAGCCATAAGTTCTCATGAGCATTTTCTTCCGTAATCTTCGTTCCAAACTTCTCTCAAATATTTTCAAAGCCGGAGAGTGAACCTCTCCAATATAAAGATAACTTAGTAGGAACGACACCCATTTTATGGCTTTCCGATACACTTACTCCTACTCTGTTACACAGGCTGCATCATAGGGATGTAGGTCGACGCTCAGATAACCATAAATCAAGGCGCGAGAAATATTTATGCCTATCATAGTAAAGAAAGATACGTCT